AGAAAGATGACTTACTCGCAGCCACAGTTCCAGCGTGAGTCATGGGCACACCTTTCGGCGGACCCGTGGAACCAGAAGTGTACATGATGCAGAACAAGTCCTCCGGCTTTGCCTCTACGGTCTCAACGGGGTTCTCCTCGCCTAATGCACGCACCTCCTCGATACTAACAAGTTTGATATCGGGGTTGGCCTTCTTGAAGGCGTCGACTTCAGTGCCATCGGAAAAGAGGGAGCTGTTGTTGTAGATGACAAATTTGACATTTTCGGCCTTCTTCAGAGCACCGCTTGCTGTCTTGAGGAGTTGAGGGTCGATGTACATAGCATCGGCATTGGACTGGAGCAGCGAATGCTCGACACCGCTGGCGCCGAGGGTATCGTAAGCGGTGACAATAGAGATGGACTGGGAGCCGCAGGCGTGGGACATGGCCATCCAGTTTGCACTAGATTCCAGAAGGTCGGGTTAGCTTCTTCTCGGCAGGCCCAGACTCGGAGGGGTTCGAGTGCGGAGTGCTCGGGACCTTGGATCTGGGAGGATAGGTAGGACAAAGAGAGTTCTGCTCTCGGACGTACGTTGTGGTAGCGAATAGGTGGACTCTGCTTCCTTTGCTCAGACCCAGCTTCCGCAGGCCTGAGCCAATCTGGTTGATATAGGTGAGGAGGTCGGCATAGGTCAGGTAAGAGTAACGGGACAGCTCGAAATACTGCCACTCTTTTTCAACCTCTATGACCTCTCCATCGACATTCTTGGGGACCTTCTTCTTCTCCTTGTGAAGGTGCACGAGCTTCCTGGTGCCAACGGCAGGCTCGTTAGGGTAGACCTGAGCACTTCGCTTGACAATGTCGTAGACGGTGTGAACGTCGGGATGGGGTTGGGTTCGGAGACCATTCTTGGCTTTCCAATGGCGACGGGGAAGAGTCTCGCCCTCAACGCGCTCGTACCCAGGCGACTCGACAGAGAAGGGAGGTTTGTGCACCTGGTACAAGGGCATCACGCCCGTCGTGTAGTCTGGCATATCGGCGGCGGTGGGGTTCGTAGGGAGTCTGGCGTAGAATAGAGCGGTGAGGATGGCGACGAGGAGGACGAGGACGGCGGTGATGTTGGACGGAATGATGGCAGAGTTCACGGAAGCAAGCCTAGGGAGGATAATGATGATGAACGGACACGGAATTGACGGATGGGCCGAGGCGGGGGAGGGAGCTCTGAGGTAAAGCTACGGGTTTCGAGGTGAGCTAGGTGAATGACGGCAGTAAGTTTGCAATTTTGAGGTGGTCGAAGAGGTTGGCCGGAAGGGTTGTATGGTCGGAGCTTTTTTTCTCGTAAATATTTGGCAAAGATGAGGGGGAACGTGAGACTTTGACAGAGCCGATGAGGAGGAGCTTCTTGGAAATGCTGGCTGTCGGCTGGGTTACGTAGCTGTATCCGTAGCTGTAGCTGCTGGCACACGAGACTCGAGAGCAGTGCGTCGAGTGAGTACGTGCGTGTGTGCGGGCAGGAGGCGCAAAAGTTAGGTGCGCAGCAAAAGATGGGCAACGGGACTTTAATTGCGTCACGGTTGAGAGCTGGGGAGCATGGGGCATCCAATGGAATGGGGTCTGGAGCTGATAGACAGGCAAACAGCAGTGCAGCAGTGCAGCAGCAGCAGCTGGCAGGGACTGCACTACAGGGTACTGAGGGTAGGGATGTCGCAGGTAGGTAGATCCGCCACCGGCCGATGCTTGGGTGGGTCTCCCGCGCATCAGGCAAGGTACGTATCTTTAATGTTGTCCCCCATTCCGAATTTCTGAGGTAATTCCCCTTCTCCCATTGCACATTGTCTGGGCACATCTCAAGCACACCTGCCCCTGGGGTGGGAATGCTGAGCCACTAGTCAAGCTCCCTGCCAGGCCGGGGCTGCATTTGTCTTGGTGGCCGCAGACATGAGAGCTAATTAGAGCTACCTCTGTCGATTATTATCAGCCTCTACGTTACCTTGCTTGCAACGTACGACGACAACGAGAATTTGGATCGTGGACAGCCACGACGGCTTGGCTGCTTGGCTGCAGCTATGTACTGCAGAATCTGGTAATCAGATCTTGTTCCGGCGATTCCAGAGAGTCTCAGCATAAAGGCATATGACCTTTTTCCGGTCAGCCTTGGGCAATGTGGCAAGCCCTGGAAGCTGGAAGAGCCGGAGTGGCATACGTACGCCCGTGGCACAGCACTACGGAGTAGACAGCTCTTCTTCCTCCTCCTCAACCACCACACTTTACATCTGCAACGTTAGGTGCTCACCTGGAGAAGGATCTTACTTGCCTCGGCCTCACGAGTTTCAACAGCAGCGAAGACCGAGTGAAATTGCAGCTTCTTGTGGGCCAAATGCAACCCGCCGGTTGCTGCTCAGTCAGGACCATTAACCAGCACCAGGGCCGTTGCTAGCGTGCGGATAAAAAAGAGGGGAGGAAACTGGGCTGCTCCTCCTCGGCTTGGCACGTTCCTTGGGTAAGATGCAAGATGCGAGATCGCTCTTGCCTGTCCTTTACCTTCTTCATTACCTTGTTTCGTGCTTTCCTATTGAGAATATGATAGGACCAATTGCTCTTGTGACAACTCTTTCCTGCCCATTTCATTTGTACTTAGGTATCTACGTAATAAATCTTACTCGTTCTCAACACTTCATCACTTGGTCTTGGGCACTCTCCAGATGACCTTCGTTCCCCGCCTATGCTGACAACTTGGCAACTTGTCCTCTCCAACAATTATCCCCAACGCTCAACAATGCTACACTCCATCAATGATGACGCACAAATACTAGGCAATGAACAAGCACATGACAGAAGGCTTCGGTGTCGGTGGCAGCCCACGCTCGAGTCCGAGCAGGGAAGGTCGGAAAATGTCCAAGATCAAAGGCTGCAGTCTGCAATCTGCAATCTGCAGAGAACTTCCGATGAAGACGGCGTACCCGTACCGCCCGAGGAAAGGTTTTGGTCCACATCTCGATATCGAAATGGGCTTTTGTTAAATTATTTTCTGCAGGCCTTTTGACTCGAAAAAAACCGGGACCGAACCACTCGCGCCGCGACGCCTATTCAGACTACAAACGAATACTCCGTAGATAACCCCGACCGCCACGGAAACACGGCTTCTTTGGTCTCGGAGCTCCTCTTGTCAAACCTCGCCTATCTACGCGACTCTGCTGACAACTGACAATGGCTGGGTTCCTCATCCGCTCACGTGCAAATTCCAGCCTCAATTGCTGACACATGCGGCGGACATGCGCCGACAGCCGAGGCCAGAGCAAAGAAAAAGAGGCTCCCTCCAGTGGGCTCCCTGGCATCTGAGTGCCACTGTGCCACTGTCTCTATCCACCTGCAGCCAAACCCTGCTTTGCTCCAACGATCCTGCTCTATGCGGACGGGCAGCATCTTGGGCATATCCCCAAACGACAACCCGTTCGTTATCCGAATTCCCTCCAAGACAGAGTTCGGTTCATCACACAATTTCAACCAACCGTCCGAGCTTCCTGTCTGCGATCCTTTTGCCTCTGACTTGCTACTCGCATCTCACCACTTTTGAGGCTATCCCCACGTTGCGAAACTGCCGACATATGTCGTGCTGACGCTCTGCCCAATCCTGCCGAATCGTGCGCCTGAGTCAGACTTGGTCCTCGTCTTGGAGAAAAGCCCACGGCCAGCCCGCATGAATGTCGCTTGAACGTTGGGGAAGCTATGGCCACAGTGAGCCACCAGTAGCTGAAGCCCGGCCCAGGAGTTTGCAACGTCTTCAGCTTGTTGTTCCAGCTTGATACTGGGAGCAGACCAGAAAACATCAAACCCCTCATATACACCATGGCGACGGCGTGCTTTGCGGTGGCCAAGGGGACTGTCATGGAAACCACAAAAACCAAACAAAGTGGTCGAACACGGCTCAGGTCAAGATCCGGACCGCACGCGGTGAGAGTTCATCGTGTGGCCGCCGGTCAAAGAGCAATTAATAGCAGCACTCCGTCCATCTCAATCTTACACACACACTTTATCTCTCCTCTCGATGCGGGCCGAGCGTTCAGACGGACCCGATCAAGAATCCGGTCCTCGAGGGAACTTGTCTCCTAGTCGGAGATCCATTCGGGCCCCTCATCCCGGTACAGCAAGCGGCCAGCTTTGCCAACCTCGAAATAAGTGTGAGTTGGGTAGGACGACGGACAAAAACAATCACACAGCCAGAGACGTCCAGACACCATAATGCCTCCCAATATGCCAGCCCTGTGCCCCATTCACGCACGTGTGCTGCATCGTCAGCTTTGATAAACATGCCTCCCCAGCGTCGAGCCCGTCGTTGTGCTAGCGGGATCTACGCTGGTCTAACGGCTTACACTTTGGGACTAAAACAGCACCGCTCGGCACTCCCTCGTACCACAGGGCCGTGTGTTTAGCCTCATCCTCTACAGACAGGAACGCTGCACTCACGTAAACATGCAGCAATCTAGTGGCCCTGCCGTGTTGTGGGCAAGCCAGATGGTGTCCTCTGCTGCAACTAACGGCCATCGCAGTTCTAGAATGGACTTCCCCCATCGGACTATTACCTCCACCATCGTGTCTCTCCCGTCCCTCGCGCGACCAATCAGCTAACACCAGCGGCAGGACCGCTCGACCTCCGACCTCCGACCTTGCTGCACAGTTCTCGAAATATACTCGTCGTCACCAGTGTCACAACAATGAAACGCCCCTTTTGCAAGCCCCGAGCGTGCACCTACACAACGTGCCCCAAGAGCCACAAGCACAGAGACGCCCAAGGGAGGCCTTGGTCCTGTCGCCTGGCGGAGACTCTGAAAGGAGGCGGCGGGGAGGCGCACCTCCGAGACGTGTTGTCGGCACGGCATTGATGATATTAAGATAGAGTTATGTCGCAGCTGTTTCCCTCTCTCTTTCGAGATGAACTCCTGTCCTGTTTCCCGCCGATCTAGAGCTGCTGACTGGCTTCGAACACAGCCCCCCTGCTTCCTTTCTCGCGGTAGCCAGCCACCATGTCGCGATTGTGTGGTATGCGCCCTGAAGGGCTGGTGAGTTGCTTCCATTTCCATGGTCCTTGGCCAGCGTCCTGTAATATTGTAGCTAATGCTCGGCCCAGACGGTAGACTCGAGGTTCAGTCCTCTTCCGTCGATGTGTTTCTTCGATACCATCATCATCCCTTTACCGGCGTGGATTCGTCTGACAGTCACTTTCGCCCTTTTCCACTTCATTGTGCCGGTTCTCATCGTCGACAAGATTAAGCGATATACCGTGAAGAAAGAATGGCAGAGGCATGCTCAATTATCCGTCTATTTCTTCTCTATACTCGTCGTGTTTCTCATGGAGATTATGGAAATCGCCAGACTCGCAGAGATTCGCTATGCCATTGGCCTTCTTCCTTTCGTCTTTGCTGGCTGCGGCGTATGTGCAGTCATGCAGGCCACCCGCGGCATCAAGGGCAAGATTCGCAATTGGCAGGTGGCTAACATCATTTTCTGGATCATGAGCGTCGCTGTCACCATTATCAAGATCCTCACGATTCAGCGCTCAAGCATGCGATTCCCCGAGTTCCGGCGAATGGGAACCGACTATCCGACGACGCACCAGGTGCAGGACTTGGCCGTCATTGCCGGGTTCTACGTCCTTCTCTTGATCAACGAGATTGCGCTCTTCTTCCAGAAGACTTGGGAAGAGACTGTCGACGCTGAGAACATCAAAAAGCTCCGCCTCACCAGGTCGATCAGCGACCAAGCCCGCTACGATCTCACCCGGGCTATTGAGGAGGGCTACTACCCCTCGGGCGTCACGTATCTGACCCTTAGACTCGAGGGCGAATCTCAGAGCGAGAAGGCCGTCAGCAAGGACGACATTCTCAAGAAGACGGCCAGCATGGACGCTTCCATCGCAGGGTCGTCTTCCAGCGAGAAGACGGCTGGCAAGAGGCTCATGGATGAGGATTCCATCGAACCAGTACCCATGATACCCCCTAGCTTCAGACGCAACAGCGAGCGGTGGTCGTCGGCCATGACGCTCAAGGATGCTGCCGGAGATGACATGAACGAGAAGGTCGGCGGCAAGGACAACAACAAGAAGCGCGGCAGCGAGAGGTGGTCGAATGCCATGACAATCAAGGAGCCCACAGCTCTCCGTGACGGTCATGACAAGCGTGTGTCAAGCTTCGCCTCCCCGATGGTTGCCGACATCGACGAGATCACACCCCTGGACCCCCCTTCCACCTCATCATCCAGATATGAAGACGAGCATGCCGCGCAGAAAGCCATGCTTCTCGACAGCCCCTTCCCCATGAAAGAACTTCCCGACAGGCGCTCCTTCATGCTCAAGCCTTCGCGCCCCAACACCGAGAGATGGTCCAACGCCATGACTCTGCGCGGCGAGCCGTCATCCGGCAGCGGCAGCCAGGAGCCTTCGCCCAAGGAGCATAAGGAGTATATGCCCTCGGCACCCCCGGCCGCGGCGACGGCTCCGACCACGCCGGAGCGCAGGGCTTCGGCTAGCGAGCGGAACATAATGAGGAGATACTCTGACGCCTCCACGCGGTCTATCAGGAGGTTTTCTGCACGCAGTGACCTCCGCGAGGCGGCGGCCACAGCGGCGGCGTTTGTGGATGGTGATGAGCCGCTCACTTCGCCAACGGAAGCGCATCCTTTGCAGCCGAATCACCACACGCCATAAATGAGCACAGCGACGACACCGCTACGAATTCTCTCACCACCTTGACGCAGATTGTTATCCATCATTCTCGAATGTTCGAGATGAGGGAGGCTAGTGTATAATGAAAAAATATGTAAATCCAACCACCAGATAGGTACCCGGGTAAAGGCGTCAATCGACTGGGCTTTAGGGCGCCGCTGGGCGAGGAGGCGTTTGGATCGGGTTCCCGTTTCTCCCTTTATAGGTATCCTCCCCCATTTCACCAAACTTTCCTTTTTTTCGAATGTAAAATCACACACTATTTAATGAGGCTACGGATCAAAGTCTCGCAAGATCTTTTTTTCTTCTTTTTTGCAATATAGATCGACCAAGGGGGGATATAGGGGAATTATTGGATGATGAGTGGCTTGTTTCCCAAAAATTGTGATGTGCTTGACCTATGCGACGCTACGGACACTACGGACGTCAATTGATGTTTTCCCCCCGGCGCTAAACTCGGTGTGAGGCTCCATTAGGTGTGGGATTAGACAGCTTGCAATATAGGCGTAGGTATTCGGGATGACGGCAAGACGGGTGGGCGTGGCGGGTAGGTTAGGTAGCGTATGATGCGAAGGTGGCTTGCTTGGCTTGTATAGCTTTGACTGATGGGATATTCTTGTTGTGATAGGTATACGTACTCGAAGAACAAAAGGTTCAATGGACAGACATACAACTGAAATTCGACCCGGGCTTGGTATGGACGTTGGCTTTGTGTAGGTACACACGTTACTATGATAATCCACTGCATTGTCGAGAAAAGTCTCCTCCCATTCTTGATGATTCGTAGGTATGGTATTCAAAACACCCCATGGGTAGTCATCTTGGATTCGACCCATGGGGACACAAACCCATGGGTACACCCAAAAAACACTCACAAGGACCCAAATCACAATCACCCAAGAGGACTCGACCCCCAAATTTACCCACGAGAAACTTCAGATCCATTGATACTCGTGCTACGACACCTTGTTTCTCCAATGCCTTTCTCGAAATACGTTTTCTTTGGCGTACAAGCTTCTTTCACGTCAGGCAGGGCAAGGTTCGCCCCATGGACGCTAAGTTCAGTGCTCAAGGTCACGTCAGAACTGGGCTTCAACAGATAAGCATAATCCAGACTCACCTGCAATTCGATCCCGTCATACCGGTACCCTGTAGGAACCGAATCGCAACTCAGTCCCGAAAACCAAGTCCTTCTAGTTTGCGTATCTCTCGATCAAGATGCGCATGTAGAACTCTTTCATTGTATAAACTATACTGTCGTGGCCTCATAGCGAATCCCATTCCCCTCACACAAACAAAAAGGGGCTTTCAACAAACCGCCCAGACGCCATGCTTATAAAGCGCTCGAAACACATCGGCCTCTCTTTCGACTCAGGTAATACACACCCACACACACACAATCACACGCACATCATTGCCATGCTTAGAGAGCAACATACGCACATCCCCGTTCTATACATGAAAGAAGGAATGAGAGAAGTGCTTTCGAGATAATCCAGAATCTTTCTAGTACCTCGCCATGTGACATCCTTCTCCCCCAACTCCAATTCTCTATTACCACCACTTACTTCTCATCTCCCCGTCGACCGGCCGCCTTTTCTCCGGAAGAAGATAAGATACGGCACGTCACTGCTGCCGTTTCTGAACACCGTATCGCTTACGTCAGACCCTCGTCCTGTCCCATCGATTCGAATGTGAGTGACTTTGGAATCGTTGATCTTGTACCAAGCCGCCGGGTCGGGGGTATTGGAGTCTCTGACATAGGCGTAATAGTGTCCAGTACTGATGGATGATCCCGAGTGGACAATGACAGCGTAGCACTCATAGTCGAACGGGAGCTCGAATTTCTGGTCCGGTGGAGGACCCACCGTCTGGCGTTCTTCAGGCGGTATAAAGAACTCGTCGAGGTTGAATTTGTTAAAGTCCCACGTAATCTTGCTGCTGTCCTTTGATGCTCTACCGTACTCCGTGTAACTGAATCGTTTCAAAGAGAGACAGAATAGTTCGGGCATCCGTGCAAGCTTGGACTGCTTTCTGCCCTGTACCCTTTTCTTGCAGTTGTCGCATTGATAGTCCGCAAGAATTTCGGGTTCGAGTAACGACCTCACGCAGTCTTCAAGGGTGTGAAGCTTTGAGTTGACGGGCACCGAAAGAAAGTCGTAGTGAGACCAGGTGTATGTGCGGTTGTTGCACTGCGTGCAGACCACAGTCGAAAGCTCCAAGCCTCGCCAGTATTTGTCGACGATGGATAAGTTCTTCTTCTGATATTGGCCCCACCACTCGTAACTGCCTTGCAACATCGATTTGCCGCCCCCCATTTGAGGCGGAGGGATATTGTCTGGTTCAGCGCGGTCTCGACGTTGATTTGTCTCGTCGTGGAGGTAGGTTAGGAGCCATGACATGAATTCTTGAGCATCCTGTTGTCGACTGCCACCGAACTCATCGCCCTTATCCTTGATGCGGCTCTTCTCGCAGACTGATCGAGAATAGTCCTGTTACTAGTCAGCATTTGTTACATTGAGAAGGATGAGCAAGACAAACCATAAGCGTTTGAGCCTTCATAACGTCAAACTTGCCAGATTCTAGCCAGTGGAACAAGTTGGATAAGATCCGAGACATCAACTGGGGGTGATCATTCTTCTCGTCGGCCTTCCTTGGCACCTTGTACATGTTTTGCCACTCAAACGAGGCGAGCTCTCTGCCGAACCCAGGCGACATTCGAAGAACTTGGATTGTGCTGTTGGCATAGCACCACACACCAGGGTTGTTGAGACCTGTGATGTGCAAAGTATCCTTGGCGGCGTTTGCGACCGAGGGAGAATCTGGACGAGCAAGGGGACCCTGCTTCAGATTCCGGCCCTGAGCAGCCATGGCAATACCGGCGTGAGCCTCGTGGTCATCCTGGGTCTGCGATAACCCACTGTAACTCGGACGAGGCACAGCCGGTGCGGGTCGAGTAGGCGGCGATGGTAACTCGGAGTAGATATCGCCATGATGTTGGGAGTAGCCATGGTTTGGCCGATCTGGGCTGATTGGCGACTGCATGGATTCCTGCTCTGTGGCTACCGCAGGGAATCTTCTCAAAAATTCCTCTGTACTGCGCACATGCATGAAACCGGGAGACCGCGCCGTCTCAATCTCAGCATGGTGCAGTGTTTCCTCCCAAAGCTTGACCTCCTCGGGCCTCAACGGCGTCACCTTGTACTTCCTGCTAGGCTTAGAGATGGAGATGGCAGGTTTCAACGGAGAACGAGCCATGGGTGCTCTAACAGCACCGGCAGTCTGTGAAGTGGCGAGGGCGCTTCTACCCATGAGGTCGGTCCAAGCATCTAAGCCTCCTTGTAGCAGCTTAGGAGGGTTCTTCAAGTCTTTACCGTAGTTGAAGTACGTTAATGCGCGTTGAAGAGACAATAAAGCAGCAGCGTCCATATCGGGAGAGATGTAGCGCGGTATTGAGTCCGAATCCTGGTCGTGAAACACCACAAGATCGAAAGCATCCCGCCTTTCGAAATGGTGGTACTCCTGAGGAGGCGAGAGGACCATGCTCTCAGCTATTTGCTCCGCTGTGATATTTTCTCGTAGGAGAATGCTAGGTTCAATGCAGATGACCGCTTGCGAAAGTATGTGGCCTTCGTCAAAGTCCTCTCGACCTCGAACATCGATGATTAAGACTTGTAGGGTTGCGGAGCCCCTTTTGATGTAGTTCATTAGATCGTCAGCAGTAATTGAATCGCCCTCGGGTATCGAAATGCTAGAGGTTCTGGAAGTAGCGGCAGCATTGGAGGCATTAAAGTAGTCGGCGGATGATCTACTAGCCGCAACGACGGTATTGATAGAAGCCGAAGAGCCTGTCCGACTGAATAGGCCCCTTGGTGTGCTCGAAGGCAGTGAAGCCGCTTCGTTGGATACAGTCCCCCTGGCCGGGCTGTAGATCGCATCTGGCATCTTGGGCAGATCTGGTAGGCTTGTCACGACGGCCACCTTTGGCTTCTCGGGCGGATCTGGCATCGCTCTTGGTCCTGCCGGTCTTGGGGGCATAATGGGGTGCGTCCGTATGCGGGGGTCCTGACCGGGCAATGCCACCGGTCCTCGCAGATTGGCGAAACGGGCAGCCAAGTCTTCGGCGGCCTTGCTTTTAGGAAGGCCAGGGCCGCCGGCCCCGGAACGTATCACGTTCCCATGCAGCGACTGGGGCTTCGGTTGAACCGCCGGCTTCGTTTTCGTTGCCGGCGACCCGTGGGCCTGCGTCCCGGCTTCGGCTCGTGTGGGGCTCAGGACCGGGGGGCTTTGCGGTGTCCGCGGGCGGATGGCATCCCCGTTGCTGATGGAAGTTGGTCTTGATATGGTGGGTCTTACGCCCGTTTTCTGGTTATCCGCAATGATGTCGGCCTTGATCTTTTCAAAGTTTCCATGCTGTGAATCTATCTTCTTCATGAGGGCGGTGTAAATGCGGTTCAGATCCCCGCGGCCGCCCTTGACCGACACGGACTCGGTGTGCATAGGCACGTATTTGACAGCGATCAGGGAGGCCTTGATATACTCTTTGAAGGCCATATCGGGTCGACCAAAGTCACGAAAGGTCTCGGCTTGTCGCATGGCGTTGTCAGCCATCTCGAGGATTTTGCGCAAGGGTAGGTTCATGTCGATGTGAGGAGCTGTGGATGTGAGGTCATCTATATGTGGCAGCGGGGGCTTGCCGCCGCGGCCGGCAGAGCCCCCATCTCCGCCCATAGCGAAGGTATGTAATCCGGAGCCGTTGGATAAGACCGGACCGCCGCCGCCGCCGAGGACGGTTCTGGTGGCTGAAGAGGTCGTGGAGCTCATGTGAACGGAAATGGATGTCTTGGAATCGGGTATGGAGCTTGAATCATGTCGTTGTAAGCGTGGTGGCTCGGATGCAGGGAAAGGAAGCTATCGCTGGTGATGTCGAGGAAGTGTGGAAATCGGAGGCGTCGAGGTAGGTCGGACGAGGACGAGGACAG